TGGCGAAACAGAGAAAAAGAGAGATAAAGAAAGACAGAAAGAGAGAGAGAGAGAGAGAGAGAGAGAGAGAAAGAGGAGGATGAGTACGATTGAAATCCTATTAACAATTTTCTTTCGTGATTCATTTTTTCCATTCTTTTTTCTTTTTCTTTTTTTTTTTTTTCTCTTTATCTTCTCCCGTCGATTTGACGAAATTGATACTTTGTGTCACAACGTGTGTAAGTACTTATTTTCCGAAAGAGTGACTCGATGGAACTCATCATATATTCTCTCTCTCTCTCTCTTTTTCTCTCTCTCTCACTCTTACATCTATCTATCTATCTATCTATCTATCTATCAATCTATCTCTTCGTGTGTCTTCAAAGTATGATATGATTTCTCGTACGCACCAATTTCGATACATAGATAGACTACGTATGCATTTTCTCGGTATGCAAAATAGCCGTACCAGACCCGTTTCGAGAGGCGATCGTTACGGTCGCATGCTCGAATCCTTGAGATCCCAATGCTAATTCGATGATTATCGCATAGATACGAGTACTCGTATTACTTGCCTCGATCATAAACTTTCTTTTCTTCGATCGACGAGAATAATACTCGTCGCGAGGCCTTACGTCAGAATTGAAAATCGAACGACACTTGAACGTTTGTCGATCAAACGAAGATAATCATTTCGTGATTAGCATTATTACGAATGTGACCTATTAAAATTGAATCTCATTAAGAGAATTTTCAAAAAAAAAAAAGAAAAAAGAAAAGGAAAAAAAAAAAGAAAAAAAAAAGAAAAGAAAAGGGTGAGCTTTTTTCTTCTTCTTTTTTTTTCCCCTTCTTCTTCTTCTTCATTCACCGTATACATCGACGAAAAGAAATGACAGAGAATATCACTTTTATTACGTGGATATTAATTCTTGAATCAGTACGATTAATCGCGTCTATATCAATAGGTCGTTTTGTAATTGTGTCACGTGTAACAGAGATTATATCGTTGAAATAAATAAAAAAGAAAAAAAATGAAAAGATAAAAATCGACAATTTTCACAATACCGACCAATTTTATTGTTTATAATTTATTATAGTCGATATTAATATTAATAGTCGATATAAAATTATAATCGTTGAGCAAATTTTAAAGGAATCGATCGATGAATTCAATTCGATTAAATTTGATACACTTGATAGATTATATATATATATATATATATATATATATATATATATTGATTAAAAATATACGATACATTCAATGTAAAAACACTTAGTATAATAATTTCTTACGGGAACCCTTCTCTTTGTCTCTCTCTCTCTCTCTCTCTCTGTCTCTCTTTCTCTCTTTCTATTTCTCTCTATCTATCTCTAACTATCCATCTATCTATCTATCTATCTATCTATCTATCTATCCGTCTATGTATCTATCTGTCTGTCCTTTTCATCCAAGTTACGAGCGTAAGACGAATGGCGTGGCCACAAATCGTCCGGCTAGACTATTAGCCACGTACCCTTTAAAGGACAACAGCAGGAATCCCTTCTCGCGTAGTAGAATCGGCTTCTCTTCGAGGCATTCGAAAGGCGGAAGAAGGGTGCCGAGACTCGCGCCGTTTCAGCCACTCGTAGCACACGGAATGGAACGAGTCTCCGAGCAATGAAAATTCAATGACGCGAGCAATTTGAGCTCCGGGGGCTGTGCAAGCTGCAATCTGAAAGTATAAACAGTGTACTTGCACGATTCTCTGTCTTTTTCTCTCTTTCTCTTTTTCTCTCTCTCTCTCTCTCTCTCTCTATCTATTTCCCTTGCAGTTAGGCTACGCATGCTTCTCTCTAAGCATGGTATAGAACTATAGGTATAACGTTGTGCGTGTGCACGTGTATCTACATATACGTATCATGTACATATATAGGGTGGTACAGATAATGTGTTACAGGATATTCTCTTCGGGACCATTAAGGATAATAATTTGGATTGTATTTTAATAAAATACGATATAAGATAAAAAGATGCGAATTGTTTAATGGAAAACAAAAGTAATTTAATTATTTGAATAATTACAAAAATTTAATGTAAACGTGCGTGTACGAAATATAATATATTGTAAAAACATATGCATATATATATATATATATAATATAGAAGTATTAGGGGGACCGGAAAGTAATGTCGCTTTCTTAAATTAAATTCAAACGAATAAATTTTTAACAAGTTTTTATTTTTAATCACAATCAAATATCGACATGCGTAGAAACGACATTACTTTCCGGTCCCCCTTATATATATATATATATATATATATATATATATATATATATAATATAAATATCATTCTCATTACTCATTGATATCTTTCAAAATTATCTTAACCGTTAATTTATCTTTCTATTAAGTTTACTATTATCTATTAATATTCTATTAATTTACTATTATCTTTAATAAAAATCTAATAATCATTTAATAAATTTAATTGAATAAAAATGACGAATAGATTAAATCGTTATTGTCGACATAAATATTTTTAATAACAAAGAATTCTCATAACACTTTATTCGGTCCACCCTATACACTTTAAGATTATCAACCCTTCTCTCTATCAGTCTTAGCTTCTTGCGCGCTACCAGGTAGCATCGCATATGTGAAGGAGACTCAAGAACAGCGTCTCCTAGTGGTTGCCTCGCGCACTATAATCGCGTAATTTGCGTGTAACGATGCAATTTGTAGTTATGGCGACCCCGCGCTCCCTTTCTCAGCGGTGGCCGCTTTGCCGACGACAACGCGACGACGACGACAACAACGACGACGACGACGACGACGACGACGACGAAGACGACAACGATGACGACGACGAAGACGACGAAGACGACGAAGAAGAAGAAGAAGAAGAAGAAGAAGTGAACGTCGAAGAAATTCAGGACGATGGCCTTGCGAATAGTCATGAAAGAAAAAAGAGATAGAGAGAGAGATAGAGAGAGAGAGAGAGAGAGAGAGAGAGTTCGGGGTCATCGTTAAGCACAAAAGAAAGAAGTTTCTTTTCTTTTTTCTTCGACATAGGTAATATTCGAAGAACGCTGATCCTTTCTCTCTCTCTCTCTCTCTCTCTCTCTCTCTTTCTGTCTCTTTCTGTCTTTCTCTATTACTCCCAGAATATCCTTTGAGTCCTTTACGAGCGTCTTGCAACGCGTTTACAGCGTCCTTTATCCTAAGAGCAGAACTCCTCCGTTGTTTCGCATAGTTAGCTTCTCGAATTCTAGTACGTTATGGGAATTTCAAGTTCGTTTCACGAATGTTTAACGATAAGAGAAAGATATCCAAGATTGGGGTGTAACGTTTTACGAAGTTATACAAATATTAATCCCTTTGGAATACTTTTGATAAGTAAGAATTCGTTTGATGGCATTTGTTCCGACATACTGAACGACGATTTCCTTTTTCTTTTCTTTTCTTTTCTTTTCTTTTCTTTTCTTTTTCCTTTTCTTTTCTCTTCTTATTATTCTTATTTTTTATTCCTTTTATTCATTCATTTATTCATTCATTTATTTATTTTGTTTTGTTTTGTTTTGTTTTGTTTTATTTTTAAATGATTTAGAAAAAAAAAAAAAAGAAACGAATCGTTCGTTGAAATGCTTTGTCTTTAATCTATCCAAGGTATTAGAGATTATCTAATATTATCTGTTGAAATATCTTGATGGATAATACAACAATTTACTTTTCTTTTTTGCAATGAGGCTTAGAAAATCTAAGACGTGCATCTCGAAATGCTAAGAATAATCGAAAGGAAAGCTTACCGTTACTTATCGAGGTTAACGAATGAGTGACTGAGCGAGTGAGAGAAAGAAAGAGAAAGAGAGAGAAAGAGAGAGAGAGAGAAAGAGAGTGAGAGAGGGGTGAGAGAGAAAGAGAGAGAGAGAGAGAGGGAGAACATAGTCCTCGATCTCATCGAGACAACAACTAATAGGATTTTCGTGATCGACTCGGCCGGCACTTTCAACTCTTCTCTTTGAGTTCTAATAAAGCATATCTTTTTTCTATCTCTATCTTTTTCTTCGTACAAAACACGTCTGCAAAACAGGACATGCAAGAAAAAAAATTTTCTACGTATTTAGAGTCAACAGTTTTATTCGCATAAGTTTAACTAGATCTTATTTTCAAAAGAGACCAAAAAAAAAAAAAAAATATATATATATAAATAAACGAATAAACATGCTCTGCATTTACAATGTTTTTCTTTTCTTTTTTTTTTCCCTCCCCACTTTCATTCGCAATTCCATTGAAATCATAGAAAATGTTTTTATTCGTTACTTCGTTTTCTTTTTTCTTCTTCTTTTTTTTCCAAAAAAAAAAAAAAAAAAAAAAAGAAAAAAAAAATACAATTTCTTTCAAATTTACCCATTCTCGTTTTTATAAATTTTCGTGACGTAATCATTTCGTCGCTCGATATACATTTAACATTCTTTTAATTGAATAACTAAGAAAAGGAAGGTATAAGTAGATACAAGAGATAACAATCGAGTCTCGATCGAGATCAACTCGAATGCCGTTACGGTGGTCTTTAACGGTAATGCGATTTAATCGATTAGATCTTAATTGGCTTGGCCATGTTGCCTCGATAATAATAATAATAATAATAATAATAATAATAATAATAATAATAATAATAATAATAATAATAAAAATAATAATATATATATATAAATATATATATTAGTACGTTTCATTAACATATAATAAACGTAGATATACAATATAGTATAGAATAGAAAAGTTCGTACGAATTAATGAATATGACGAGAATCATCAATGATATTATTAAATTTTTTAACGAATTACTCATTGAACTAGCTAGCTAGCTAGATAGATAGATAAATAGATAGGTAGCCCAGCTAGCTAGTAGTAATTTAGTATTTTGAACGATCGAACGTAATATCACGTCGACGTGTCGTGGTAAAGAAGCTGAAGTTGGAATGAAAGGACGAAGGTGGTTTAACGAGAGCACGTATTCTCCTTTTGCTTTCAGGATGCAAGAGCTTCTTCAAGAGGAGTGTCAGGAGGAACCTGACGTACTCGTGTCGGGGTACCAGGAACTGTCCCATCGACCAACATCACAGAAATCAGTGCCAGTTCTGTCGGCTGAAGAAGTGCTTGAAGATGGGCATGCGCCGGGAAGGTATGCATTGTACTGAACCCTTTTTTATCAAACAAACTTATTAGACTTAATTTCATATATATATATATATATATATATATATATATATATATAAATATATATATATATATATATATATATATATAAAGGAAGAGAAAGAAAGAGAGGGAGAAAGAGAGAGAGAGAGAGAGAGAGAGGACATGGTAGGTTTGATCGTGACGACGAAAAACGTATAAAACGAATACATTCATTCCAGTTTATTCAACAGGAGAATTTCTCCTTCGTTGATCTCGATGATTCGTGATAAACTTTTAGTTTCTATCAAAATACAAGATGTGCGTTTATCGAAACTGTCGCGAGCAAACGTAGTAATGTCCTCGCGAGCTCCGTTACGCCAGCCCAGAATGTTCTCGTCTTTATTAAGATCGGCCGAAAGGAAAGAAAGAAAATGAAGGAAAAAAAAAAAAAAACAAAAAGATATAATAAACTTGCATACCAAATGCTCGCGTCACGGAGCTCTCTTAACGACATATGTCAGAGAAAACGAAGATTTAAAATGGAAATAGGAAAAAATAATGTTCGGGACAGAGTAACAAATAATAATAATAATAATAATAATAATAATAATAATAATAATAATAATAATAATAATAATAATAATAATAATAATAATAATAATAATAATAATAATAATAATAGTAATAGTAATGATGATGATGATGATGATGATGATGATAAATAAGTAGGTACTAATATATCTCTTAATCAATTTATATCAAAAGCGGATATGTATATTCGTTCCTTTGATAAAGCTATATTGGAACATGCAAAAAGATTTTTCATAATACGATTTTTTTAATCGCGAATTAATTAAATCTCGAAGATCTTGCTTTTTCTTATTAAAAGAAAGAAAGAAAGAAAGAAAAAAAAAAGGAAGGAAGAAATTAATTAGTAAAAGAAAAAAACTTATATAATAAAATATTATTTCTAATATATCGAAACATTAGAACTATCAATTTATTTTTACCAACATATTAGATTTCTACGAACGTCTGTTGAAAGTTGACGTGTACATCGAGAAAAAGAAAAATAGTTCACTCTTTTATTAATTTTATATCATTTAATTTAACAATATTTACGATACAGTTTGATTTTAATTTATTCAATTTTATAAACAGATAATGAACAAAACCGATAATCGCTTTTAATTAAAATTTCTAACAATCATCATGTTCCTTCATTAATTATTTTTTAAATTAATCATTTGTACTACTTCGGTGTGTTATAATGTTAATGACGACGAGTAAAAAGAACGTCTAGGTCGTCAAGATTACTCAATGTAATACGTATGTTGTATATGTCTGACGAGAGTCGTCTTTTTCTACTGCGACGTTTTTAAGCCAAGCCTTGATAAGACATTTCAAATATGGCCTACGAAAAACAAAATCGATGATCGATTTTTATCTATATACACATACACACACACACACATACACACATATACACACACAAACAGACACAAACAAACACACACCACACATTATACTGGGATTCGTAGAAATCATTAATAAGAAGTCTGGAATGTATTTTAAAAAGGGTAAGGAAAAGGAAATCTCCTTTTCTTATATTTCGAGCCACGAGTGCGTAACAATCTTATACAAACATATGTATGTACAAGTAAACTACATTGAAATGCTTTACGTCAAATAAAACTCATTTGATTTAATAATGATTTGAAAAAAAGAAGGAAGTCGAGTACATGGTGAATGATGTATCTTGCTAATTCTTCGAAAAGAATTAATTGGATTAAATCGTAAAAAAGGCTTCGTTAAAAGGGCTTCGTAAAGGACGTAATTAGAGGAACAGAAAAGAAAAAGTTTATTATTTGTTTGCGAGAGAAAAAGACAGAAATAGAAATGCATTGTTTTTGACGTGCCGTGTTTGTTCCAATGTTTGTTGAAGGTATACCAAAAAAGAAAATATATGATTTACTGGGCATATATGTTTGTTATTCAATTTATTAATAAATTAAATCAACATCGATCGATAGATTGACCTTGACAAAGTTATAAATAATACGCTATTTTTATGTTCTAAATAACTTGTTTACGTTCGTTTTATATAGGGAGTTAAATAAAAGTAAAGAATAGAAATTATTTTATTATATTTTTATTTCGATATTTACGAATATTTATTTCTTAATAAACAAATCAATTTCGATTTTTCATAAATATTTCTGTCGTTACTTTTAAGGATCTAATTATTTTCAAGGACCTAATTACTTTCAATGACATAATTGATTTATTTTATTAAATAGACATATTGGTTATAGATTATCGATATGCATATATTCAATGAATTATTTTTTCGAGTTTAAAAAAATGTCCTTCCCGATCAAAGGTTTTATAGATTTTTCATTTTTTGAAATCAAATTTTGTATTTTTATTTCATTTAATATTTAATTACATCAAGACAACGATAAATACAAACTATTCGTATAATATCGTTTGTCTCTTGATTGAAATTCTTTTGATCTTCTTCATAGATATACAATATATGTATATAATTATAAAATCCTATTGTTAATATATCAACAAGTAATATCTATTATTAAATAGGAATAAAATCGGAAATGTATAGTAGAACATTTTTATTATATAAAAACACGAAACTAATTTAATTAATTAATGAAATATGTATGAAGAATTCTTTATAAATATATATATAAATATATATATATATATATATATATATATATATATAAGATTATGTCAAGATAATTCTTTCTTATAAATTTTTCATTTAAATAAGCTTGTAAAAAGAAATAATTACTATCATTAGTATCGAGATCGTGTAAAATTCTCTGTCGAGGTCATTGTTTCGATCCTTGTCAACTCGAACATTTTTAACTCAATTCGAACATTTTTAACTCAACTCGACCACTAGGGCGTCGTCTAAATTCAGAACAATTTTTTTGTTTCTTTTTATAATACCTCGGCTATAAAAAAAAAACTTCATTTTCTAATCGAAAATTTGTTGATCAATCTTATTGATCAGCTTAATTAAAAAAAAAAAAGAAAAAAAAAATTAATAATAATAATAATAATAAATAAATAAATAAATTAAACAAATTAAAATAATATTTATACCTATGAGCATTTAAGTTCTTTAAAAAAGAAAAAAAAAAAAAAAGAAATCTTACGTAGGACTTTATTTAAATCGCAAAAGTCGTATTATAAAAATATTTACATTTCTGATCCGCTCCTAGTAAAAGGTTCTTTCGAAATTTTGTGAGCATATCTATGTGTATTTCACATAGAAAAAGTCAGAGGGAGGGGGAGGGGTGGGGGAAAGGGGAGAGGGAAAAGGAAAGAAAAAAAGAAGAAGAAAAAAAAGATAACACGAGATCCGTCGATCTTGCAAAACACGTCGTAGAGGAGCCGATTTCGTTGTCCGTTCGGGGCCCCTTTGGTAGTTTCAGGGTTAATAGCGGCCTGCGGAAAGGCCGACGGAAAGGCCGACGGAAAGGCCGACGGTGTTCTCACGCCTTACCCCCACTTTTCAATCTCCTCCTTCTCCTTCTCTTCCTTCTTCTCCTCCTCCTCCTCCTCCTCCTTCTCTTCATTCTCCTCATTCTCCTCATCCTCTTGTTTTTCTCCTCTTCAAGGAACGCTCGAACTTGGCTCCTCGCGATGCAGATAAGATCTGACCTTGTTCGAGCACGCAGAAGATGGTCACTGTTCGATGGACATACACAAGAAGGTCACCAAATGACTTTTCACGCTACTTTATTCTTCGACCCCACCCCATTTCTTTTTTCTCCCCATTATCATTATTATTACTTTTTCTCTTTATTTTTTTTTCTTTTTCTTTTTTTTTTTCTTTTTTTCTTTTTTTCTTCTTTTCTTTGGTGACAGGTAGGAAAAATTAATTCGCAAGATCATTAAATTCTTTCTTTTTCAAATTTCTTATTTAATCATATGTCTTTCAATTATTTGATCATGGATCAATATTTCTTCTTAATCTATATTATTTTTGACTTGTGCATTTTTGTATTTCTGAATTTATATATGTCTCTTTGTCCTTATTATATCTCTTTATATATTATTTTATATATATATATATATATATATCTTTTTTTTTCTCTTCATTAGTATGAAGACGAGTATGTATATAATTTTACTATGAGATCTCATTGATTCTTGACTGGTATCATTGTTATCAGACGGTGACGTGCGAAAAAATTGCATCCCCCTTGTATATTTTTAGCATATATTTTCTTTTCTTTCAACAGTCATATTTTATCAACTTTTACATAATATTCATTTTTCCTATTACATAGTGATTTTTCTTATTTATCTGACGTAATGACATTTCTTTCCGTCCTTATTATATCTTTTTATATGTTATTTTACATGTATATTATTTTTTTTTTTCTTTTCATAAGTACGAATACGAGTATGTATATAGTTTTACTATGAGATTTCATTGATCTTGACTGGTGTCATTGTTATCAGACAGGTGATAAAGCATGTGTGTGTGTGTGTGTGCGTGTACGCACGAAAAATGAAAACAAAATTTCATCCTCTTATATATTTTTAACAAATATCTTCTTTTCTTTCAATTTTTATCCAAAATACATTTTTCCGTATTATTACGTAATTATTCAAATTCTTCAATTTCATTGATCCTAAATGGATTAGTCAGAAATAAATTTAATTAGATTTATTATTTAATTAGATATCGAATTATTTGTCGATCTTTATTTCTTAATATTTCAAAAGAAGAAAAAGAGAAGAGAATTCGTCATAATCAAAGAGATTAATTCATACGAGAGTACAATAATGAATCTAAGCTTGTACAGATCGAAAAGATTTAAATTCATTCATGAACTCGCTTTTATATCATATTTTATTTCCCTCGGATCCTTCAAATTCGTATGAGAAAGAGAGAGACAGAGAGACAGAAAGAGAAAGAGACAGAAGGAGAGAGAGACAGAGAGACATAGAGAGAGAGAGAGAGAGAGAGAG